GAACTATTGACAGACTTTAGCGCTTTCAATGATTTGGTGATTGGAGGCAACGTGTACAAGCACAAGGATATACACAAAGCAACATGGGTTTCGCCTGATGGATACACCACGAACCAGATAGATCTCATAACAATCTCAAAGAAGTGGAGACGCAGCCTGCTGGATACAGAGTCGAGAAGGTGAGCAGATGTGGGCTCAGACCATTGTCTAGTTCAAGGGACCTTCAAGATGGGCCCCGAAATCCTTCAGAACAACTGACGATTGGCCAAAGTTCAAGTTCAATATTCAGAAACTGAAGGACTAAACCACAAGGGATGCTCTCACTGCAGATATCAGAGCAAAGTTGGAGGCACTAAGTGACGCCACCGAGGAAACCTGAGTGGAAGAACATTGGAACTCTCTACAAGTGATGTTCAAGAATACGTGAACAAATGTTCTGGTGAAAAAGAAGAGACACGACAAGGAATGGCTCTCAACAGATATCTGGAAGCTGATCGACTAGAGGAGGATAGTGAAAGAGATGACTCAATCCAAAGATGTACAACAGAAGTAGGAGTTGAGTACAATGTACACCTCACAGAATAAAGCAGTAAAGAAGAGTTCTAAGAAAGACAAATGAAAATCCTACGACACACTGGACGGCAAATGAAGCAGAGCAGGCCGCAGTCAAAAGAGACATCAGGACACCATATCAGATAACCAAGTCTCTATTCGGGAAGAGATCAGCCCAGATGATGAAACCAATAAAAGCTGCTCAAGGGAACATGATTACGAAGTAGGAGGAGAAACGTATAGAACAATGAGCTGATCACTTTAAAGGACTCTTGAATCGACCACCACCGACAAATCACCCAGAAATACCACCAACAGTACTCATGGAACTGCCTACCAGTGGACATCAGTCCTCCAACGAAAGCAGAAATCTTTAATGTGATCAAGCTGCTGACGTCCGGAAGGGCAGGAGTACCAGACGGAATTCCTTCATCCCGAAGCAATGAAAACGGACCCAGAGACTGCCATAGATATCCCCACGACGTTGTTGCAAAAGGTTTGGAAATAAGTAAAGGTACCTAACGAATGGAAGGAAGGCTAGCTACCTTGTCCAGCTGACAAAGAAGGGCTGCTTAGGCCTCTGCAAGAACTGGAGTGGAATAATTCCTTTGTCCACGCTAAGTAAGATACTATGTTGCCTCATCCTGGAGAGAATGAAAGATGCACTGGATACAGGACTCCACCTTACCGACCAGAACAAGCCGGATTCAGGGAAGGCAGGTAATATACTGATCAAAAAGCAGTTCTATGCATCGTCATCGAACAAAGCATAGAATGGCAGTCAAACCTCTCCCCACTGCAGCTTCATCGACTTCGATAGCATAGACTGAGGACTAATTTGGAAACTACTTTCACACTATGGCGTGCCTCAAATCTTTGTCAACGTCATTCAACAGCTAGCTATATGACAGTGGCACGTGTCAGGTTTTCCATAACGGGAAAATCAGCGAGGCGTTCGAAGTGAATACAGGAGTATGACAAGGCTGGCTGCCCAATGATATTCTTAATTGTGGTGGACTGGATCATGCGTCAAACCGTAGGCAGCGAGGAGTCAGAAATATGCTACTCTGACCGATAAGATGACTCTAGGAGATCTGGATTTCATTCGTGAATGATATTTGTCTGTCGGACAAACTCGAAAGCCAACAAACTGGCTGAAGAAGCAGCAAAGACAGGATTCTAAGTGGACATAGGGAAGACGGAAGTAATGTAGATAGCCAACGAATACAAAAAACAACAGCAAACAGCACCATCAACGAGAGAGATTTAACAGGGGTTACTTCCTTCACTTATATAGGAAGCATCGTTTCAACTACAGGTGAAACAGAAGAAGATGTCAAAGCCAGAAAGGCGAAATACGTCTTCATTAACCCGAAACCAGTCTGGAAATTTTCTACACTCCTCAGCATAAACAACAAGATTCGGATTTTCAACACAAATGTTCATTCCAGTCAGTTCTTCTTCTCTATTGCACTGAGTGTCACGAAAAGGATTTCCAACAAGTTACTAGCCTTTATCAACAGCTTCCCACTTCACTGGCTCCATATTGAAGATCGAATTGCCAGAGACAATTAGTAACACGAAACAGTGGGAAAAAACCAACTAAGAGCCGGTTGCTCAGTAAATATGTAGGAGAAAATCGAGATGGATTGGACATAAATTGAGAAGACCTGTCGCATGACATCGCACGCCAGGTCCTCGAGTGGAATCTCAACATGAAGCGATAAGTGGGTCGTCCTAGGGTGACACGTAGGAGATCTTATGAGGAGGAAATAAGAGATTGTGGGCAATCGTGATCCAAGCTGAAGAGGACGACAGAAGATAGGACAAAATGGAGATATGTTGTTGAAGCCCGATGTGCCACTCGGAACTCAAGGGAATAATAATAATAGGTCGTGAAAACGACACTGAACTAGGCTGAAGGAAAACCATCGAATGACCATGAACAAGCAATCCGAATAAGGGACTTAAAACCCTTGAGTGTGTTCATTTACTGTGTATTTATATGTATTTAGACTACTTGGTACAAAGATTCTGCATTACCATCACCCCGCCAGGTGCTAACCTTAATATTGTCCCTAGCTTATAGGGAATTCATGACCTACGGAATGCATACACTTGAAAATTAGTCCAAATGCAGCGCCTCGAAAGATTCACATTAAAAACCTGTATTCCGCATTTGTGTTTAGTCATTTTATTTGCGAGGAAACTGACCTACAAAGAAATGTGACTATTTCCCTTTTAAATCGTATTCACTTAATTTAATCCCCTAAACGTCCAAGAAAATACACTAGTTTAACAGAGTAATTTATTAATCAGCTTCTGATATATATATATATATATATATATGGTGGTCTCTTTCTGTTTGCTCGCTTAGTCTGTGACCATTTCACTTTGATGAACCTATCTCCTTTAACAATGTATATTCTCCTTATATTATATATAATATAATATGAGTGTTTGTTGACAGTCCGTTGCTTGGTGACATATATCCATATTATATGTGTGGTTGTTGACATGTCTGCTATATTTTGCTATGTATATATGGATCGACACTCCATTATAATTAGCCATTCATGTTAAGACTGTCTATTGATTTGCCCACACACTTGTTTGGACATCCATATATATTTCGCTCTCACAATATTGTGTGACTACTTTGGTGTGATACCACTTATTGCTTCTCCTGGTGTTTTGGAAAATAGAAGTATCATCGCAAACCTAGTGGTCTTCTGATTTCCGTCTTCCTTGCGTCAGGACTATTAATTTCTCGACCAGTACATAGCAATAATTTGGCGACGAGTACATGACAGTAACTTTATAGCCTCGTCGATTGATTTTCTCTCCTTGCCCAAGACTCTACGCCTAACGTCAACATTACTTACCTTGTGAAACCACCTAACGTGAGACAGAGATCGCAGACATCTATGATCGAAAGCAGTCAACCTTTTCATGTCTTCAACGCGTATTGGCCATGTTTCAGAGCCATAGAGAAGGACGGAGCGAACTGATGAGCAGTACACACGTCCCTTGGTTGATAACCGGATGTCACACCTACGCCAGAGATGGTGTAAGTCAGCGAAAGCAGCTCGAGCTTTTCGGATCCGTGCTGAGATTTCATCGCCAATCAGTCCGTTGGTGCTAATACAACTTCCCAAATAGGTGAAGTGGTCAACATGTTCTATCACTTCACTCCCTATCACTAAGCTAGGAGTTGACGTAGTCCAGTCCTGTAGCCGCATCTTACATTTTACAGGGGCGAATCGCATGCCAAACATACGAAGATTGCTGCTCAAGGTGTTCAGAAGAGTCTGCATTTTGTCAGAATCCTCCCCTAACAGGATTATGTCAACTGCATATTCTAAGTCCATAAGACTATTCCCTGGTAACAAGTCGATTCCTAAGTCGTTACGTTCAATTAAGGATACTTCCATTAGCATATCTATGATGAAGTTAAACAGAAATGGGGAAAGTGAACATCCCTGTCGGACACCACTGGTTGTTATCAATTCAGATGACAATTCCCCATAAGCCCTTACACGGCTACGTGAGTTTGAATAGAGTGCCTTGATTAGTGCAATGTACTTTCTTGACACTCCCTTCACAGTCAAACATTGCCATAGTACCTTTCGATCCACGGAGTCGAAAGTATACACAGATAATTCACCAAATATGCTTTTCATTACCTTCAAAAAACACTAGCCAGTATAACCTAGTGAGTGAGAATGTAAGCTTTCATGAGATAATGGGAATAGATGATTGGAGGGTTAAATTGATACAAATCATCCATCGTTAATATCTTCAACGTTCAACTCCTCATTTTTTGGCCTTATAACTTCTTTTTCATTTTCAGTTTCTCCCTTAACTGACTCTCAACTTAGTGTTGTGAAATGAAGTATGAAAAGTTGAAATTTAAGAAGGTGAATCTAAGCACCATTCAATTTGTTTTTATCTAACTCTTCGTTACGCAGAATGAATTACATTTTGATTCAATAGTTTTACGAAGCGAATTATTATTGAAACAAGTAAATAAGAAGGTTTTTCAGTCATTAAATAAGAGAAAAGAACATTTAAGAGGCATATATATATATATATATATATATATATATATATATATATATATATATATATATATATATATATAGTTCTCTGGATTGTCGATAAATGCAATATCATAATTTTAAAGAAAGTGAGGATAAAATGACAGGAAAAATGCGTCGATGATTTTCGAACTCTTCAAAACTGTGAAATTATACTAGACAAATTATAAAGAGGAAGTTCTGCACACAAGTAGATAGTAAGATCATCTACCTACCTGGTGAATCGTTTAAAAATGATAGTAAATGAAATAGTAATGTATATCAAAAATATTCTTGTATCTTTTGCAGCATTCACGCTTCCTGGATAGCCTCACCGGTTATTATTATTAGCAGTAGTATTATTATTATTTATAGATCGCCATAAATTACTTTCAATGTCTGAGCCATAATTAAATCAATTTTCTTATCACCACTTGGTTCTGCACCGATAGATGCAAAATTTCTTAAGTCTTCTTCATCTAGGTATGCATTATTCTCACCATCCTCAACAACATTTTCCGATTGACTATAAATGCTTTGAGCAACAGATGAAATTTTTTTAGCTGGCTGATTGACACTTGAGTGGCGTAATTCACTTTCATCATTCTGTGTGCATTGGTTCTCTTTTAAAATTTTTCGCTGTCTAGACATAAGCACTCCATCATTATTATTAGTTTTAGCCTCCCATTTAGTAATTACTTCAGAAAGATTATCTACCTTTGGCATAGTTATATAACGTATTCTTTGACCAAATATTGTCATTTTCTACAAGGTGGAACAGAAAAAAGGAAAATTTTAGAAGGGATACATGTTAAGAAATCCCATTAATCATATAAAAGACAAGTTTGACAACGGATCGATATCACTTAGAGAACTATAGAAAACCGACAAGGAGTACTGGACAGCTGTTTCATGCTAGTTTGGGAATCATCGGCAGTACGCACCCACCGGGATTCGAAGCCAGGAACTTCTGTGTTCGAACTCGAAAAGCAAATGTAATCCTAACAAATCAACTGTTGAAAATTAATCTGATGCTTGCTAGTGACTTGTTACAGAACGGAGCTTCCTGAAGTTCTAGTGAGAAGTCGTGACTAATGAGCTCCATCCAATCGGGAATGATGATGGGTTTCCCCCCGATGACATTGGTTAGCGGTCGCGCTAAAAATCACTAATTGGTAGAAAATAGAATTCATGTGTTCGACATTGAATCGAGTCCCAGTAACTGAATGGTATACGAGCTTGCCTTGCAACTGGAAGCCTTTGGATTCGAGTCTCAATGGGTGTGTACTGCCGATGATTGCCAAAACAATGAGGCGGCCAGACGAAAGAGGTTATCTTTTAAACATACTGAACAACTTTCGGCTAGTGAAGACCAATTGGAGTTTAGCTGCTGAGAATGTCTTACTGGATGGTTGAGAAAGACAATTTTTCAACATATCTGAAGCTTGGTCACCTTTGAACTCCAAATGAATGAAGATAATTCTCTATAGAACTCAGTTGTGTTTTACGAGTTGATCACGGATTGATATAAGTTAGAGAACCTGTGTTTTGTGTTTTTGTCAATAAATTAACTTGGTAGCCGTTCTCAGCAAGTGTGGCTTTAGGAAAGAAAGTTTCACGTCAGCGCAATCAGAACTGCAAATATTCTTCATCTTATAGGTAGCAGATCGAATGAATCATACTTCTTACGTAATTGTTTGTTTGAACTCAATTAATGCCGGGATAAATCTTTATTGTACCAGGCTATAAGCCACATTTTATTGTATGTGAAGACTGCTGATAATATGCAATTTGTCTAGGCTGAATTAGACGAAGTGGGACTTGAATTTAAAGCCCAGTTGAATAAAAATCAAGTAAGCCACCTCCTTTACCTCACTAAGCCAGAAATAATGCTGGTAAAGAGGAAAGGTTGGACGTGAGGCTAGCAACCCCATCCTGTAAAATAAACACTGGTACAGAAATTTCAAGCCTGTAGCTTGAAGCCCTTATCTTCCACTGGGAACGTGAAGGAATAAAAAAGCCACATATTTACGGTTATAAGGAAGAAATTCATTCGATTTATTTGCCGTATATAATACACATCGATAAGAAAGAAAATCAAATTAGTGTGATATGAAAAGAAGTTGACATTATTCGCATTCATTTACTTCCGAATATTAAGAAAATTTTGAGATCAAACTCTGTCTCTTCAAAAAGTACAAATAAATAATCAACAAAAATATAATGGATTTCATTTCCTATTTATTTACTTAATCAATTCTGCGTTGATTGAATTGAATTCACCGCACAAATCTCGATATATATATATATATATTAAAGAAAAACAAGTTCAAATTTCAATCGAGTAATTGTTTGTATATATATAAAATGCATGTTTTTATGGAAACAAATAATAATAATGATACCACCTTTGAGTTAATATGCCATAATTAAATGCAATTTAAACAATGACAACAAAAAGATAAATATTTTTAAAAAATTTAAATCGCATCATATCTCAAGCATTTGATGATTCAATTTGCTAATAGTCGGTTCCGTTATTTCTCTTTTTTTTGGTTTTTATTATTTTGAGCGATTTATCTGTTAACTAGTTTATATTGAATGACTAAAGAGTCAGTATATTTTCAATATGAAAATAAAAATCATAAAGCAACCTGAAACTCTGTGCTATAGTTGCACATCATGTTTCACGCGAAACTCTGTTAGTGATGTCATCAGCAGTTGGACATTATAGCTAACAGAGTAGAATTCTAAACAATTCACTCAGAAACTGTTGCTGAGAGTTCTTCTTCTGCAACTTAGACTTTTTTTCACCTTATCTACTGTAGCCAGTACTGTCTGAGATATTTCAGTGGACAATAAAGTAAAGCCTACTATATCGATCCATTTTGATCTAATCCATTGACAACAAAATAGAGAAATCGGGTGGGTGCACTGCTCAGCAGTCCGCTCCGTCCTCCTTTATGACTGTGAGAACTGGCCATTGGGAGTGAAAGACGTGAAAAGATTAGCTATCTTTGATCATAGATGCCTGCGCTCTATCTCCCGTGTGAGGTGGTATAATAAGGTGAGCAATATTGAGGTTAGGCGTCGAGTTCTAGGTAAGGAGGGGAAATCAATCGACGAGGTTGTGAAGTTACATCGACTGAGATGGTTAGGACATGTGTTACATATGCCTAGTCATCACCTTCCTCGACGGGGAATGTTAGCTGATATAGGGTAAGGCTGGAAAAAAACTAGCTAGTGGCGGTCGAACCAAAACATCGCACCAGTCAATGAAATTTACAACAGTTTGTTTAAACCAGCCACGTAGGAAGGTGTAGACTTCCTGGTTGGGGTCCTCAGGACGGTAAAAACCAGTGGTTGGAAACAATTGGTGATATGGTTCAAAATCGTTCTCAATGGCTGGCTCAGATGCATCCACTCCTTGTGACTTATAATTTCCAATGAAACTGTATTGTTCTTCGTTACTACTATTCCTTTGTCTCACACCTCTGTTTATTGTCTCTATTATGCTTTCCTCCTACTTACTTCTCTTGCTTTGTGTGGCACGTAGAAGGAGTGTGGCGACTTGAAATGGCGCACATTTGTGCGAAGTTCTATGTCAAAAACAGACAGAAATCGGAAAAAATGGTTATATGTTAAAATTACAATTTTGGATTTACTGTTGGTGGATTTCATTAAACTTAAATGTTCGGTCTGTACTGACTGACTTTTTGGCTCCCATTAATACGGACACTGTTATAATGTCTCTAGGTTAACATGATGCTGTCTGATTGATGATGACTATCGGCAGAATCTAGGATCAGTATTTCTTCCTATTTTCTTGACCCGTGTGCTGGAAACAATGAGTAATAGGTTCGAGTCCCATTATCACTCATTAGGGATGCAGCCACATTCAACTAGAGATTTCTAAACAGGACAACATACGTGTCTTGGAGTATACTGCTAGCCATCATCAATAAAATGACATCACGCGAATAGGGTTAAATTTTATTAGACTCAAACTTTAAAAGCATCATAATTAACGGGGTGAAATGCAGAGAACAGAGGTTTCACGGTGTAACGAGAGAAGACAAGGGCCAGGCAAAAGATCCTTTATTAAGGAAATCAACAAATATTTATAAATTTTCATGTACATTATTATAGATTATTGTTAGCAGAAAAACACAGTCTTCTGATTGGTTGTTTATCACTGAAAGTCAACGTTGCATCTCTTTGTGGCTGTTTCTTGAATGTCAGATCATCTATGTGCTGACTATATCCGCCTACGCAAAGTCTGCTGTGGTTGGTTGTTGAATCACTCTTTGTTCACATTTTTTCTCACGACCAATATTGATGACGTAAACATTGACGTAAATTACTATCTACCGATTTCGTTAGCAGCCAGCTCTCACCACAATACATCAAATTATCTTTGCAATTTACACAATTCGACGAAGTGAAATATCACCACAGTGTCCTTTGAAAACCAAAATTATTCAGATCTAAATACATGTGATCTGCTTGATACCATAAATGGCAGCCAAGTAAGCAAGCGAAAATGCACGATCGACCAAAACTATCCAATGCAGTTTTATGCAGTGTCATGTGTAATCTTAGCAACTTGGTTATAATAACATGGATACGATGACAAAAGCTCCGAACTTTAGAGAAAGTATTAACACGCGTAAGAGTTTCAAATATGTTTCAGTGATTATTATCAAAATGCATGAGAACTATGTTTTCTCTCTCTCTCTCTCTCTCTCTCTCTCTATATATATATATATATATATATATATATATATATATATATATATATAATTACATCCTTTAATTCCTAGAGGAACATAGGGCTTCAGCTGCGCGTCTCCATTGCCTTCGGTTGTCTGCCAACTTTTTCACCCCGTTCCTAGTCTGCCTACATGCTTTCATCTCCTATTCACATGACCTCCTCCAAGTCACCCTTGGACGATAAAATCGCCGCTTCTTTTTCGGGTTCCACTCCAGGGTTTGTCTAGTGATGTCACTTGATGGTTTCCTCAGGGTATGGCCGATATATATATATATATATATATATATATAACACTGCCGTTTGTCACTCGTCGAATATTATGGGGTCAGGTTAAGTAAAAGTTCGAAAAACATGTTCATTTAAGAATGCGCTGTAGTATAATCTATCAAACAGTATTTGAAAGGTCAGTGTTTTTGTGTGATTTTTATGTTTACCAATGTAAATGCAGACAATTAGAATAACAAACTGCTGAGTCATTCTTTGCGGTGATCCTATTGGTTCACAACTGTGTAACTATTCATCATGATTGTTACTATTAATACATCTGTTTATTTAGCAACGTTAAGAAACCGATATAATGAAGTAGGCAAAGTTATGTGATCTTTGTGTTGATAGAATATATCTGTCTATTCCAAACAAAAGTTATATGATTATGTAAATAAGCAATATGAATATTAATATGTGAAATAATCTAAAAACAGGGTGCAGATTTTCATCAACAACTGATTTCGCTTCATGTCTGCCTGTTTTCGACATAGAACTTTGCACATATTTGCGCCAGTTCAAGTCGCCACACTCCCTCTACGTGCCACACAAAGCAAGAGAAGTAAGTACAAGAAACGCATATTAGAGACAGTAAACAGAGGTGTGAGAAAAAAGGAATAGTAATAAAGAAAAACAATATAGTTTCATTGGAAATTATAAGTCACAAGGAGTGGATGCATCTGAGCCAGCCATTGAGAACGATTTTGAACCATATCACCAATTGTTT